TTAAGTGATAAAGCAGGGCTGCATTCACACTGACATTTGTTTATGTGAGGTCAGGGCTTAAAAGCCCTGTGACAAATAAACATTCCTGCTTTAGCATGTGCACTGACCATGATGGTCTTTCAGTAAGCATGTGAGAAGAGGAAAGAGTTGATTAGAAACCAGAGCAAAGTAGCTTGGTACAATTTGTTTCTCTTAAGAAAAGAATGAAACTTGTTCAGAAATACGTCCAGCATTTGCTCTGCCTACTACTGCCAACATGGACTTTTCTATGTATAATTTTTAACTTGACAGTCAATACCTAAATTTAATGTTATTAATAGGAGTAAAACAATACTGTTATGAAAGTTAAGATGTTCATAAGAACAGCATGCAGCAAATATCAAGTGTGTTGCAGTTTGTAGTTCAACATAATTTCTGTCAAACTGTTTCCTGAGTTCACAAAGTAAATATTTGAAAATATTTGGGTTGCAGAATCCTAGCAAGCCTTGATAGGACAGTTTTTGTCCTGATCTTGGGGAGTGACTCGAATATACAATATATCACTCAAAAATACAGGTGACTCCAAACACTGTTATGTGAGTGTGGTTTATAACTGTTTTGTTCAGAAAACTCTGGGTTCTGTAGTAGGTAAGGATCTTCTGGGGGAACTGTGCATATTGTGGCTCATGAACTGGCTTGTTGTGGACCAGAGTTCATCTAACAGAGTTCTCCCTTGTACCCACAGGCACTGAGCGCTCTTGAATCCATGGCGTCAAACAAGCAGTATATGGAGTACCAAGAGCAGCTCTCCCAGGCTTCTGTGTTCATCAGGCATCCAGAGCATTGTCTTCGGGATGGCAACAACCTGCTGGCTCTCCTTGTCAACACCCTGTACCCAGAAGTGCATTATTTGGACACCATCCGGTAGCGGCGCTGGGCTCGCAGGGCCATCACTCAGTGCCCATCACCCTGGTTTACAAACAGTGTCCCTGCTGCACAAATAACTTTCACCTTCAGAGTTCCACTTAGTAACTAAGTCAGAATTGTGAATGGGAGCGGCATGCTGTCAAGCTTTTCTCCCCTTTAAGGTTTTCTTGCTTCCCTTTTTAGGCCTGTGGAATTGCCTTTTTTTTTTTTTTTTTGACTGAAAGCACTTGAATATCCTCCTGTGTGTGGTGCACTTCTGAGAGGAGGGTACTTGGGGATAGGTGTACAAATCATTAGTCAGCAAAGCTCATCCTGGAGCGTCTGGAGTTTTTGCTTGGTGCCTTTTTTATTTTCCAATGTGTCATCACTCAGGCCAGTTCAAATTTACTGGGGGATTGTGTGTAAAAGAGGTTTGACTTTCTTAACCAAGGATACCTCTGAGTCTTACCTGAGTGTGTGTCTAGTGATTTTTGTGAAATCCCTGTATTTGAAAAGATGGTACTTCAGGTTTTGATTTCTTTTTGCTATTCCACAGAAATCTGTAGTTGAGAGGCATGCCTACAATCTTCACCCACTTGTGTAAATATTAACAAAAGTTGTAACTGAAGAACTTTGGTTTTTTCCTGTTTTCTAAATATTAGTGTGTCTGCATCTATATTGCTTCATTAAATGCAAGTAACTTCTAGCCAAGTTCAAGGGGATTTAAATCCAGAAACAGATTTTCTGGATCTCTAGTGTCTGGGAGGGGAACAGTCAGTTATGATCATGTTAGGTAGGATTCCTTAATTCTTAAAGTCTGGTTGTTTAGGAAATACTGATTTAACAAGTGTCCACCCACCACTTAAGTTTATTTTCTTTTGCCTGGCTGGGCATGACACCATGAGATTTTAGAGGACGCTATGAAGAGGTGCTTCTGTTGTATTAAATTTGGTGATCACTTGTTAAAATTCTGTTGCCAAAGCATGAACCACGAGCCTGTAGTTTCAGCTGAATGATCACTGTCTTTGTTGCCTTGTCTGATCATAAGATGCACTTTTGTTTAGGGAAAGCAGAAGATGAATTTTTCCCGTTGCTTGTTTGACGTCCCCTTCATCACTGATGTGTTTGAGGTGGCCCAAGGTCCTACAGTCCCAATCCCTACACCTGTGTGAAGGAACTGATCGCTTTTTCTCTCCCTCCATTAATTGTGCCTTTGTGTTTATGACATGGTTGCACGTTAAAACATGAGTTCTGATCACTAGGGGATAGAAATGTGCTGCCTACTGTCTGGTCAATGATGCTTTGATCTGTTCCTCCCAACGGTGGTTCTGGTGCTGCAGAGCAGATCAGCTTTTTCTTCTTGCCAGATTCTGCTAATTATGCCAGCTGGGTCATTAGATCACCGTCATGTTAATGTGGTCTTAGAGTTCTTTGCTCTATCTGCGAGCCTATAAATAGATATACATATGTACATCCCTCTGTATATTAACCAGATACCAAATGCAGCATGTTTTTTAAGACTCTTTTGGAAAATTCGTGTCTGGAGGAATACATTCGGCTGCTTTCCCCCCCTCAAAGACTTAAAAGCACTGGTTTTATTAGATTCAGTGTTATTGATCAGTTGCATATAAATGTGAAAAAGTCAGAAATACGTGTTTGAGATGCACTTTCAAAATGAGGAATTGTTTCAGCTGTTTTTACAAATGTTGTATTTATAACATGCTATGTCTGCAAAGACCATGCAAAAATAAAAACAAAAAATCAAGCAGTTTGTGACAGACACTGTGATGTTTTCAAGTTGCTGGAAGAATACACTCCAGGTAACACATAATTGCTGTATGTGTCACCCACAGGACCAGTCTTCTGGCTTCATGGTCAGTGTGGTAATGGCAGAAGTCTGAACCTGTGCTTTCCTCAAACACAGGGGGGCAGTTTCAGTTTTGTGAACTAACAGATCCACTGGCAGTTCTCTGTGCAAATGTGAACTCCAGAGCTTGGGGCCTTATTTTCCAAATTGTGCCCAACAGAGTGACTTCTTATTTCTTCTAGTTTTACTGGAAAGGCTCTGGCATTCCCAGCATCTCCCACTGTCTCTCGTGCCCAAAACTACAACGTTCTTGTTCACATCATTAAATGTCACCGGGTGCTCTCAGAAGGAAAACTGAGTTTTATGTTGATTTTAACATTGTAGATTGCATGGAAAGAGATTAAATGATTATGTCAGCTACTCAATAACAACTGTGCCTGTTGGATACTTGGTGCCGTTTAGTTGGAGAATGAGTATCTGTGGCTTTTTGAATGTTTTACCTCACACAGCAGTTGTTGCATTGGGATGAGTTGTTGCCTGTGGGTTGCAGCTCAAGTATTTATTAATAAAATAAGGCCAAACAGGGAAATGGGCATAACAGCTGAATGTGGCATTAACTTCACTCAGGGGAATGGAGAAGCAGAAGTTGAGCAGCAAGGTGCCTGAAATGTGCAGGCAGTGCTTGCTCTGCAGGCTGACTGCTTAGCAACCCACTGGGGCTGTGGTGATGGGAGATGGCATAATTTATCCTGGGAGAATAGAGGGCAGTGGCCAAATCCTCCCAAACCCTGAATGTGCATAAACTGAGCAGTTTAGGAGGAGGGGAGGAACTGGGACACACTTTTTAGGCCAAGTGAGTTCAACATTAGAAGCCTCCTGGCATGTGCCCTGCTGTGTTTTGACCTTCTAGTTTATATTGGTTTGAGTGGGTGGTTTGAGTCTCCCATGAGGACCAGGGGGCACGAGTTAGTTTTGGGGCACAAGGTCTGATGCTTCTGTTTGGACCCAAACTACTTGAGTTAAAGAGGTAGTTTTTGAGAGAAAAATCCTGTGAGCCAAGTGTGAATCCCATACACAAGTGGGAACGAGTTCTTTGTTTTTCTGTATCTGTAAATCATAAGGGCTCAGAAATTTGGTTCAGTTTGTCCAACTAATATCCCTGAGATCTCTTTCCTCTGTGACACCAGTGAGACTGAGCTTACAGGTCCCTGACTACACTGTCTGCTGTACCTTCCTTTTCCTCTTTGCATCCCTTCTTATTTTTATTAAACCTGGCTTTCAAAAAAAAAAAAAATCAAAAAGCCACAGATACTGATTCTCCAACTAAACTGCACGAAGTATCCAAGTCACCGCTGGGACTTTAAGCTGGGATTTAAAAGATCAAGTTCAAATATTTCCTTGCATTTTTTTTTCCTTATTATCCTGGCCAAGTCATTTAAAATTGTGCTTTACTTTCCCAGCACAGGTATTATGAAGAAGTGAACTTTAAAATAATGATTCCTAGCCTGGGATTGAGCTTGCAGGCAGGACCACAGGCTTGATGGTAATTCAGTAGCAGCTTGGAATCCCAGCCAGTGGTGGTTGTTACCAGGAGCAGGATCATCTGGGGAAGAGTTTTGGAGCTGCTGCACTGGAATGGTTGCACAGAGCCACTTGCAAGTCAGAACTTTTCCGTGTAACACAGAGGTGGAAACTGTTTAGAAATAAGTTTTTTAGCTTTAAAAAAAAAAAAAAAAGAAAAAAGGCAAAAAGGCAATTTGTTATATTGGAACATTTTCACAGTGTATTCATCACAAAGCTCTGGGCACTAGGTAGAGTAGTAGAGTTAGAGACTAATTAGACTTTGCATGTCCTGCTTTCAGCTCTACCAGCTTTTGGAAAACCTCTTCCTTTTTCTTGGACTCCTCTTGAAAGTTAAGGTTTCCTTTAAACTCTTAAATAAACTCTTCTGGAAGATAATGAATAATAATAATGACTAAAAAAAAAATCCCCAAGACCACCAGCAGAAATTCCAGTAGTGTTCTGTCACAGCTGGTGTTTGAAACATGACAGTAGCTCATTTGCAGGCTGCATGTGGTTGGACAAGTGAAATGATATTTGAAAATTGCCAAAGCAAAAAGATTTGAGAAGATTTTATGCTGTTACCTGCTTGCTAAATATGATCTGGGGTAAAAACGCACAGATTGGTTAAAACTGATATTCTGTGCAGATCCTCCTCTGCTCTTCCAGATCTACCCCTTTTTCTTTTTTATTTCTTCTCTTTTGCCTTTAAGGGCTGCTCTTGCTTGTGAGCAGCAGCAGGGCTGGGAGTCACAGCATATAGAATGGCTTGGGTTGGAAGGGACCTCAAAGATCGCCCAGTTCCATCATCCCCACCGGTGTTTGGCCTTCTGTTCATCAGCCACCATGGGTTTTGTGTTCCCTGGGAGAGAGGACACCTGTGCAGGGAGCAGGTGGGGGTGGGATCTCCTCAGCTGTGCCTGGGCACTGCTCTCCCTCCTGGCAGGGTCTGGCTCCCTCCGTACCTGCGGTCAAAGTTCTCGTAGGTGCAGTCTGGCAGCTGTGGCCTGGCAGGAGGAGAAGGGAATAAGGTGAGGACACATCCCTGGCTGCTCTGGGCTTTGTAAGTGGCTCCAGCAAGCAGCTAAGGAGTGTTAGAGCAAGTGTTTGCGATGCTCCAACATGGACTGTCCCTCTGCAGCAGGGGGTCTTTAAGGGTCTGAGTTGCAACTGATGTTTTACATCTTAAAGCATCCAGAGCAATCTCCTGCACCCTTAGCATTAACTGCTGCTGCTGTCCTGCTGCTCAGAGCCTTGGGAGGTTGTGGCAAATCTCTCCTGAGAAGGATCTTCTCCTGGGAGTGTTGGTTTTTAAGCTTTCCTCTGTGTAGGTATCTATACAAAGACAATCAATGGTGCAGTGTCATTTAGACCCTGATAAATCAGCAAACCTATACTTTTTGCAAATAGTCATTACAAATTTGACTGTATGATTAAATTCCTTCTTGTCTCTTTGGCCATGTCCTAACATTTGAATGTCCTGCTGAAATGGCCCTTGTTCCTGGGTAAGGTGAGGGAAGGAAAGAGACATCATGTAGGAGTAACTTGGGAAGAGGATATTGCATAGGGGTAACTCAGGTTGGAGACATCACAAAGAGATAACTCAGATTGGAAGGGAGCAGCCCCAGGCAGATGTTGTTACACTGACCTCAGATACAGCTTCTTTACTGTTAGACTAAGGGCTGTTTTTTTGGTTTTTTTTTAGTTAATTTTTTTCCATCCCTTTCTAGCTTGGCCACCCCAGCTGTCAGTATTGTCCAAGATCAGCGTTTTGCTGGGTAATGGGAAATTCCAAGGGTCTGTGGGAGCACAGTGTGGATGCCAGCCAAGGAATCAGGCCCTGTCACACCTGACCTGGGTCTCAGGTGGGCTCTTTGGTACCTCCATACCTTCCCCCACTCTTGGCTGAGCTCATCAGTTTTGGTGTGGGCACTTTTTCTTCACCAACTCCGTCTCCTAGAACGCTTCCATCAACACTGCCTCTGCACAATCGTAAACATCCACTGGTCAGATTTTGTGACCAATACATCTGTTCTAGAACAGGCAGCAGTCACAAGTATTGAGGCCATGTTGCTGAGAACACAGCTGCGCTGGGCAGGGCACGTCTCCAGGATGAAGGACCAACCACTGCCTCCCTAAGATCCTGCTCTATGGTGAACTTGCCACCGGCTGCTGCATGAGAGGAGCCCCGAAAAAAAGATACAAGGACTGCCTGAAACAACATCTCAACCTTGGCTATATTGATCACCATAACTGGTCTACTCTGGCCTCCAATCAGGAGGTCTGGAGACACACCATCTATAACGCAGCTGCCTCCTTTGACAACACACGCAGGATCACTCTCGAGGAGAAAAGGCAATGCAGAAAGAATCGTGCCTTGCAGAATTTACCACCTAAGGAGTCTTTCTGCTGTGCCTTTTGCAATCGGATATGTCTGTCTCGTATTGGCCTTTTTAGCCACCAGCGTCCTTGTAACAAACGTGGGTAGAGCCCTTCTGAAATCTTTGTTCACGAAGCCCAGCCATGATGATGATGAGAAACTGGGGTCCAGAGGGAGGGGAAGATTTCTCTTCCATGGTGTCAGCACAGACATCCCCTCACCTCTCCCTGGGATGGATGGTCCACTGTTTAATGTGGCACCACAGAACGACAGAATGGTTTGGGTTGGAAGAGACATTAAAGCTCATCTCATCCCACCCCCTGCCATGGGCAGGGACACCTTTCAGGTTGCTCCAAGCCCTGTCCAGCCTGGCCTTGAACACTTCAAGGGATGAGGCAGCCACAGCTTCTTTGGGCAGCCTGTGCCAGGGTGTCACCACCCTCACAGCCAGGAATTCCTTCCCAATATCCCATCTAACCCTGCCCTCTGGCAATGGGAAGCCATTCCCCCTGTCCTGTTCCTCCATCCCTTGTCCCAAGTCCCTCTCCAGCTCTCCTGGAGCCCATTTAGGCACTTGGAGCCTTCTCTTCTCCAGGTGAACCCCCCCCAGCTCTCCCAGCCTATTTGCATGCCTGACTGCAGCCTTCCAACCGTGCTCTGGGCTTATGGCATGCCTAAATTTCCAGTTGTTTGCTGGTGCAGCATCTCTTTGCCATGGTCTCTCCAACCTGCTGCCCCAGTCCCTTGTCCTCACATCACTGGGGTCTCTCCTCAGCTGTGCCCAAACCTTGTTCCCTCACACCAGCTCCCCTGGCCGTCAGCCCAACCCTCTCCTTGTCCCAGGAACCTGCTCTCAGGCCAGAGAATTGTTACCAAGACCACAGACATGCTGCATTTTCACCCTTAACCAATTCCACCCTCCTGTGGGATGACATGAGTAGAAGGCAGGACATCCTTACCTGACCAGGCTGGATGGAGCAGAGGAGGGACCTGTGGAGTGGGAAGGATGATGTGGGTTAGCAATGAGGTCAGACTGACCTGGAGCTGTTGGGAAGCTGCACTGGGTGGTTGTGACACTGCAGTGACTGGGAAGAAGACCTGATGTCAGGCCTGTGGCCCTCTTCATGGGTTTGGGAACTAGGTACTGGAATATAAGGAGGGAAAGGTTTTTGGTTGGTCTGACAGCTTCTGCTGTTCAAGACAAGTGGTGGCTTCCATGGGTGTGACATCAGACTGTCCCTACAGACGAGTCGCAGTGATCTCATCTTGTCCAGACTGAGAGGCAGAGTCCTGTGTCCCTCTTGGTCCTCTCCTGCCCATGCCACTGCACAGCAGGAATGGCTTCCTGGGATGTCTCATCCCTGAGTCCATGAGATGATTCTCATCTCCTGTAGGAGGGGCATTCCCTGCTCTTATGGCCTTGGAGTTGCTGGGAGGTGGGATTTCACCAATGATGGGAAAGCAGAGGTGTGGTCTGTAAAACAAGGATGCCCATCCCAGGGGATTAAACTGTTGTGTGGGATGCACCAAAGGTAAACCTTGGCCATGGGCTACAGGGGAAGAGGTAGTAATTAGCCTGTTCCAAGGCAAAAAAAGAATTACAAATGTAGTTGTGTAGGCAGTGTGTTCTCCATTAATTGCCCATCTGTTAGTTTATTAACCTTTCTCCTTGGGCACAGAAACTCCTGCTCCCTCTGTCTTTTCCAAGGCCCCTTCCCAAAGGAGACCCTCTGTCAGCAGGCTGAGACCAGCCAGCCACGAGCTCCCTCTTACTTGTACTTAAATTTCCCACTGGAAATGTCCTTCTCCTAGGGTAGAAAATAAAAAATCCTTAAAAAAAAAAAAAAAAAAAAGAAAAGAAAACCACAAAAACCAACCAAACCCAACCCCACCCCGCCTGCCTTTATCTGCTGCACCCACCAGTGGGTACCAGTGAGACAAAGGGAAGTCACGGCACTGACCTTCTCTGGAGAACACAGTGAAGCTCAGTATGGCCAGCAAAACGAGCACCTTGGCTCCCAGCGGCACCAGGACCAGGATCATGAAGAAGGAGCTGTCGGACGCCTTGAATTTGTAGAAGTACACGGCCCCCTCGGCCCTGCCGTGGCTGTTGACAGCAGTGCAGGTGTATTTCCCGTCGTGGGTCAGGTACCGCAGCTCCTTGGTGACGCGGTGGCTCGTGCTGGTGGTGGAGGTGAGGTTGGGGTAGGGGGGGCCAGTCCAGGTCAGGGCAGGTGCTGGCTCCCCCTCGGCGGTGCAGCGGGCCTGGAAGGTGTGATCCCGGTTGGAGCTGACCGTGATGTTGATGATCCGGGGGGCAGCTGCGGGGATGGCGACAGGGGAGGGAGGGAAAGCGTGTCAGGCTTCAAGGGCAGGCACAGCACAAGGCACCTGGAATGAGCTCTTGGTCTTGGTGGACCCTGAGTGGGTTGTATCAGGGTAAAACTGGGTGACAGGTGCTGGTGGGTGAGGGGTTGGACATGACCCAGTGATGGGAACTTACAGCCCAGAACCCCCCCGTGCCCTGGGCTGATCCCACAGCGTGGGCAGCAGGGAAGGGGGGGATTCTGCCCCTCTGCCCCCTCAGGCAAGACTCCCCTGCATAGCTGCCTCCAGCCCTGAGGAACAGCAACAGAAGGATGTGGAGCTGCTGGAGTGAGTCCAGAGGAGGCCACAGATGCTCCGAGGGCTGGAGCCCCTCTGCTCTGGAGCCAGGCTGGGAGAGCTGAGGGTGTTCACCTGGAGAAGGGAAGGCTCCAGGGAGAGCTCAGAGCCCCTTCCAGGGCCTAAAGGATCTAGAAGAAAAATGAGGACAAATTTTTTAGCAGGACCTGTTGTGATAGACAAGTGGTGATGATGTTTTTCAAGTAAAAGAGGGGAGATTTAGATTGGATCTAAGGAAGAAGTTTTTTAAAGTGATGGTTGCCCAGAGAAGTTGTGGCTGCCCCATCTCTGGAAGTGTTGAAGGCCAGGTTGGACAGGGCTTGGAGCAACCTGGGCTGGTGGAAGGCATCCCTGCCCATGGCAGAGGGGTTGGAAAATATAAGCTTCAAAGATCCTCTTCAACCCAGACAATTCTATGATCCTATGAATGCTGGGATCAGCCCTTCTTCCTTATTTTTCTTGGCATCTTCTTTCCCTAGATTTCCTCACCCTGCCTATGATGGATAGAGGAGTAAAGAGATCCACACAGCAAAGAGTGGGTGCGAGGATGCTCTGTTTGTGCTCTGTGTTTTATTCCTGTAATGCCTCACACAGTTTTCTGAGCTTCAGTCAACTCCAGCTGTTGTGACCTTCCACGATGGCAGAAGGCAAAGAAGTGCCATCCACCACGTAGGCACAGGTGGTGACCTTTTTATACTCGCTGCATCTCCACGTGGTCGAGGACGTGGCAACCATGGTGGTCTCCACAAGCCTCTCTTGGCTGTTCCCTTGGTCTCTGACCTCCAGGGCACACATGGATGGATCCGTTTGTGTGAGTCCTTTGCTCAGTGCCTGAGACTTGCCAGGTTTGGCAGATTACTGTTGTAGGGAAAATTTCCACTTCTTGCTACGACCTGTTTTTGATGTTTTTCTCCAACCCTGTAGTGACCAGGTCACTTTCAGGTTGGACATCAGGAGGAATTTCTTCACAGAGAGGTTGGCCAGGCATTGGAAGGGGCTGCCCAGGGAGGTGGTGGGGTCCCCCATCCCTGGAGGTGCTTAAGGGAAGACTGGATGTGGCACTCAGTGCTCAGGTCTAGTTGACATGGTGGTGATCAATCAAAAGTTGGACTCAGTGGTCTTGGAGGTCTTTTCCAATCAGTTTGATCCTGTGGCCACCCAACAGCCAGTGTAGGTTCCTGGTTGCTTTTGGGTAACACTCCCATACCAAGACAGGACCACTACTTTTGTGTCCTGTATTTGTAGTGTATGGGATTGTGTGACTTAATGAACATTTAAATATCAATTTTGTAAAGGTCAGTTGGTAAAGACCATTTCAAGGATGCAAAATATCAAGAGAGATACATGTTGAACATGTCAGTTTAGTCTGCTAAGGAAGTGTAGCTGCTGTGACCAAGCTTGTCTTACCCACCAATGCTCTCCTCTTAGCTCTCCTGACTCATTTAGTGCATTTGGTTCCTAAAGGTGTTGTGAAAAGTGAAGGGAGCTACGTGAGTGCCCTTACAGAGGAAGAGCAGGAATTCATTTTTTTTTTACAGGCTAAAAACCAAAAATATCTTTTGCAACAGCCTACAGCACATCTTCCCCCTTGTCTGTGTAATGCAAGAGGAGTTTCAGGTGGTGTGTCATGTGTCTGTGTGTTTTGGTGTCTAAATTAACTTTTTAATCATTATTTAGCCCCTCCCAGTCATATTGTCAGGGTCCATTCCCAAGCAAGGTACAGCCTGGGTGCTGTGTCTGTGTGTGTTATCATTCCTTATGGTGTTAAAGTCTGGACAGCCCATGAGAGACAGGTCTTGCTGCCATCATGCCCTGGTCATGCTGTGTGTGGGTGTTTAGGACCCAAGGGAAGGAGAGCCTTCACTGTGCAGAACTTCCCAAGAAGTAACTGAGCTCAACCTCAGGACCATCTGGATGCCCACAGTGCACAGCAGGCATAAGGAAGTTCTCTCTCACAAGCAAAACCATCCAACCTCATGACATGGGTAAGATCTGAGTCTGTTTCTAAGGCCACTTGGCTCTCACAGCTCTCCCTTCTCTGTGAGCTCACAGTTAAGGGAGCAGTGGGATTAGCATTTGACATTTGACATTTGTTGCTCTGAGATGTTTTTTTTTAGGCTGTTCTTTTTTTTCAGGCTGTTTGTACCCTTATTGTTTCCTGCATCCAAAGTGAGATGCCCAGGTTTTGGTGGGCTCTTACTCCAGCTGCCAGAGCCTCGCTATTTCCTTACCAGTTCTGTTCCTATTCCCTCCCCTGCATTGTGTTCCTCACCTCATATTGGAAGACTGAGGAAGACAGTGAATATTCCCTGCCCAAATGCTCTAAACTGTCCACAGAGCCAGAAGAGCCAACCATTCAGAAAACTGTCTCAGGTGAACTCCTGTTACCGTCCCATCAGCTTCCACACCTTGTGGCTCTTGTCTTCCTACAGGATGGCTTTTCCTCCCGTGGCTCTCGTGCCCTCTTACCAATCAAGTGCGGCTTTATCCCACTCCTCTTACCAATCAAGTGCAGCTTTATCCCACTCCTGCTTTCATACTTGTCGTGGATGTCTCCGGCCAGCTCCACCCTGCAGAAGTATCTGTCGCTGTCGCTCCAGGTCAGGTTGTCAATCCTGATGGAGAGGTCCTTGTGCCGGGGGTTGCCCAGCAGTTTGTACTTGTTCTTGTAGCTGATGGCAGTCTTACAGAGCTCGCTGGTGCTCTGGCTCACACACTTGAACACTATGGTGCCGTTGTAAGGCTCCTTGATCCTCCAAATGGCAGTGAGGGTCCGGTCAAAGGCTTTGTAGGGGTGTGTGAAGGTACAGGGCAGGATCACCATCTTCCCAAGCTCACCAGTAACATCAGATGGGACGTGAACGGACCAGCTGTTGGACTGCACACCTGGGAGCAAAAAGACATCATGGAATCACAGGATGGTTTGGGTGGGAGGGGACCTTAAAGACCATTTTGTTACACCCTGCCATGGGCAGGGACACCTTCCACTGGACCAAGTTGCTCCAAGCCCCATCCAATGTGGCCTTGAACACTTCCAGGGATGGGGCAGCCACAGCTTCTCTGGGCAACCTGTGCCAGGGCCTCACCACCCTCACAGGGAAGAATTTATTCCTAATATCTAATCTAAATGTCCCCTCTTTCAGTTTAATATGTAGGTATGTCTGTCTACCCCCTGTCCTGCTAGAATCAACAGCTGTAGCAGCAGACTGTGGTCTCAGAAACATCTGTGTCTCTGTTCCTGTCTTATAAAACTCACTTGACAGCTTCATTAAATCAGCTCTCCCCTCAGTAGCTGAGAATACCCATAAAATGTAAAGGTGCCCTGTAAGCAATTCCAGCCCTGGTCTAGCTGGCTTCACCACGTTTTGTGGGCATTCAGCTGTCAGATTAATCCTATAGACTCAAAGATAAGATTTGTTTTTTGTTCCTGTGTCTGCTGTCCACAGCACTTGACAAATACATCGGGGGCAGCGCAGCTTGTATTAATCTATTGTGCACAGCACAATGGACAAAGGCCATCCCAGGGCTGGTTCTCTGCTGTTCATTTATTTACCTGGAATCAGCTCCAAGCCAGTATTTTGATTACTGAGATCTGGAGTCGGACTGCCCTGTCTTTCAACAATATGGGCACCTTTTCCTGCCCAGGTAATGTCATATACAAAGCTACAGGACTGCAGGAGCTTCAGGAAGCTCGTGGACTTTAAGCACAAGGACCTGGCAATGAAAACAGAAATTGCTATTGTTTTCAAGTTTATTTGTCCTTGTTCTAGTTATTTTACAGCATGTCACTGTAACCTTTACTTCTTGAGAACTGCAGATCATGTGCTTTTGAGTACCTGACTTGCTTTTCTCTGTCACCTCTTTGACTTGTTTTTTTTTTGTTTGTTTTAAATCTTGAGCAAAGAACACTTTATTTTTCTAGCACATAAGCCTCCCCTTGCCTTCCAGATGAAAAATAATGTTAAAAATAAGTGCATCTAATGTTACCAGCTCCACCCATTTCCATGGAAACACAGTCTGCCTAGTTATGAGTGGAGGGAGTTGTCAACATTCTGTGTATAATTTACCCTTAACCTTAAAACTTCAGGTCTTCCATTATTCCTTTTGCTAATACCCAGCCTCCATTCGTTCCTGGAATTGAAGCTCTTATAACAGAGAGAGAGAAGTTCACGGGAAAATAGCCTGCACACCTCACAGAGGGTAACTCCCAAAAGGAGTTGTCAGGTCAGTGCACCTGCTGGTTGTCTATGGGAAGGCTGTGAAGACAACAACAAGAGCTGCAGACCACCCCAGGCACCACCCTTGCTCTAGCAAATGCTGTTTGACAGTGTATCTAAGCAACTCCCATCGAGTTTAATGGAATTTAAGTGCATGTTGAAGTTAAATGTGAGCTTAAGTGATCAGTGGAACTGGAGAAAATTGTGTCTGCTGCATAATACCTCCTAGGAACGTGAAGCAGCACTTCTGGGTGGGGATGGAAATCTACCCGACAAATCTGGGGAAAAGTTAGATGAACTCCATGCACAAGTTAAAAAAACCAAAGAAATACACAAACCACCACCCCCAACCACAACTTGAAGCCCTCTCTGACAACTGCTGAGCCAGGTCTGAATTTTTCCAGCCTTCTCACATGCACCTGGAATTTCATGATCCTTTTAAGCGACGTGATGGATGGTGCAATCCTTGGAGAGTTTGTTGCATTAGGGTGATGCCCCTGGCACTTTGTCTAGAGCAAGGGGAGAAGCCCTGATCAGACAAGGATTGGTAGCAATCTCAGCAAAGCTCAGAACTCACCCTTCCTGGAGATGCGAAGGAGACACAGGAGAACCAAGCCAAACTCTCTCATGCTGGTTGACCTTCTCCCCTGAGGTGCATCAGCAAACCAGAACTGCCTCATTACATCTGAGCTGATGGCCTTGCAGGCACAAAAGGTTTTTCCAGGGCTGGAAGAAGTTGTGGTTTTCCTGTCCTTGGAGGGAGTGAGCTGTTTAGCTGAACCAGCTCTGGGTTCAGATATTAATAGTTCTGTGGTCAGTCATATGAAAATTACACCAGAGGGAATCAGGGCATTACGATTTTCCAGCTAAAGAAAGGCGTTTGCAGGTTGGGGCTGCAAACACCCACACCAGGTGTGTGATGGGGCGGGAGGGAACTGCTTTCCAGTGCCACCAGCTCACCAGCCTGGAGGAAACCCTTGCAATCTGCCTAAAGGGTTGCCAAGCCAGACCCTTTCTTTCCTGGTTAGAAGCAGTTCCCCCTCCTGAACCTGGAGCCTGCAAGCCAACTATGCTTTACACCTTATGCTCACTCGTTGTTATAAAACAAACCACCCCAAAACGCACTTCTTTTGAAATCATCTGACCACTTGTGCCAGGGTTCAGTGGTGGGTGAGTGCTGGTGCTCACTGTGACCCTGCTCTGTCGAGACCCACATGACCCTAATGAGTTGTGAATCATTCCTTGCTTGTTGTTAAACTGTGTTTGAAATAAGCTGACTTCCAGCTTTTGCCCAACATCCTTGTGCAAATGCTCGCTTTATTCCTTCTGGGTTTAGCTTTTCTCTCAGTTTACTGTGCAGTTTGCTAATCTGCAGAATTTGGGGCTTGTGGAGAGCTGACCATGGTCCCCTTACGTCATCTCCCATATGGTGATCCCATGATTTGTTTAAATTTAACCTTGGGGCGTGTATTCCCTGTCTGGGTTTAGCTTGAGGTTTGCTGCCTTTGCCTTAGGCCAGGGAAGGCTGATATCCGGCTGATTAATCTCCTGGGTGGGGACTGGGACAGCAGCACCCACAGGATTCACGGCCAGGTTGGACAGGGCTTGGAGAAAGCCGGACTAGTGGAAGGTGTCCCTGCCCATGGCAGGGGGCTGGAACGAGGCGAGCTTTAATGTCCCTCCCATTCCCAACAATTCCATGATTCCCGCTGCAGGCAGCGGTGGGCTCGCAGCCACTGGAGGGCTCCCAGAGCCAATGCAAGACGCTGCCGAGTCGCTGCTGCCACTTTCGCTGTGCCAGGAGCCAGCGCCTTCCCCCCAGCAGGGATGCCAGGGCTCCCCTTTGCTTCTTACCCCTCCTCCTGAAACTCTCCCCGTATGTTCCTTTCTTAGCTTGTGCAAAATCTCCCAGAAGAGGGACTTTTGAGATTTGGTAGCGTGAAGTGTGTTGGCCGCTTTCTGAGCTCTTTCTTTGTCCTGGTCAGAGTCTTTGTGAAGGAAAGGATTTCTTTTTTCCCAGACGTTTTGGAGGAGGCTCTGAGAGTACCCAGATGTTATGTATGGTTACTATTCAGCCAAGGGTGGTGTTACTTCAAATAATGACTTAGAGCCTTGTGCAGTCCCTGTACATGCCGTCCTTGAGCAGGAGCATCAGGACCCAGGGTCTAATTACTTTGCAAACTGTCCTTATGAGCTGTAAAGCATAGTTCAGACCACCAGCAGCAGAGAAACCTGAGGCTACGGGTGATGGAAACAGCAAATAAGAGACCTGTATCCTTATCCCCTCTGTGATATGTGCCTTTTCTGTGTATTTTTGCCTTCTTCTTCCTCCATATACTGTTTGATTTCATCTACTTGTGATGTGAGGTTTTTGGTGTTGTGATTCTTTTTAAGCATTTCACCACTAATGGCACAGAGGGACTTAGTGGATTGAAGCAAAAGATTAAAGTGAAATCCATGCTGAAAACATCTTTTTACAGTGAAGCATAAATGATTCATATGAAGAATAGCTGCAGTTAACACTTAGTATGAACCTCTTCCTCTCTAATATTTGACTCCAGTATTTCCTAAAAAAATACCTGGTAAATCAATGCAGAAATATAAATCCTTTGAGTTTTCTCTGTGGGCTGATTTTCTTTTTGGACCACGTGATGGCTATTTGAAATGAAGCATTTTAATGTTTAAAATACAGAGTTGATAATGTATAGCTGAAAATATTTACTACCTGTTTGAATCAGCCAAAAAATTTTGTAAACAGCATCATCTGTGGCTGTATAATCCACAGACTCTGTCATGTCTTTTTCCAGGTCTGTGCTTAAATGATATCTAAGATTTCTGTGAGGAAGCCTGTTTTTGTTCCAACACCAAAACCAGGATGCCTTCCATAATAATGTTTCTTTTCACCAGTAATAAGCAATAGAGTGGGTGGAAATGACCCTAAGTTGCACAGGGGGAGGTTTAGATTGGATATTAGGGAAAATTTCTTGATCAAAAGGTCTGTCCAGCCCTGGTAAGCTGCCCAGGGCAGTGGTAGAGTCCCCATCCCTGGAGGGATTTAAAAGCCCTGTGAATGTGGCACTTGGGGACATGGGTTAGTGGTGCCCTTGACAGTGCTGGGGAACAGTTGGACTCCATGATCTTAGAGGGCTTTTCCATACTAAATGTTCCCATGGCTCTGTGATTAGTCAGTGATGATCTGCACCCAGGTTGCAGCACGTGGCTGGAGGTGAGCACGGCACAGCTCGACCCTCCTGGTCCCAGGTTTGTCACTGAGGATCGAAACAAGGAGTCATATGTGGCTGTATCTGTGCTGACAATGCAGCCACTTAGTGACCAGAGTGAAGGCAACTGTTCCCCCTCTCTCCCTTTGGGTCTTAATATCAGCTCCAACGTTCTCTACTTCAATTACTTCAGCAGCACGTGTGAGTCCTCCCCAGTCCTCCCCAGTGCCAACCCACACATGTTCGGCGCAAAACCCTTATGTTTTGTCACATCTGGCTCTCTTCCCTGAAGGGATTGGCTCTGGGAAGTGCTGGGAGGGCAAGCTGGGAGGCCAGAGGAGTTTTCCCTTTGTCTGGTCTCCATCAGTTGAGCAGGAGAAAGCAGAGCTGTGCTCCCCTTCTCAGGGAGCTGCTGTGGGTGGCCCATCTCCCCCCTGCACCCACTTCATCCTGGCCAAGCTGGAGGGAGAAAAACAGCAACAGGAAAACCTACAGTGCAAGGAAGGTGGAAAGGGTGGGAGGGATGGAGAGTATCAAAGCCAGGCACCATTGTTGCAGGTGACACTGATCCTGCTTCCTGGCATTGAGCGTTGCTGCAGAACACAGGCACCACTGCGTCAGGCTACTCCTGATCCACTTTGAAAGTCTACAGGCTCAGTCGCTTGCCTGTGGTGTTTGCTCAGCCCCTTACAAGTGCTCCTGACCTGGAAAGTCCTCCTGCCTTTCATATCATTGCTCCAAGGTCTGGAACTGTCCCATCACCAAAGCTGGGTGGGTGAATCTGTGGAGCAAGGATGGGGGTGCTGGTGAGCCCTTGTTGCCTATGTTGAACATCAACTAAAGACAATTAAATGGATATTTGGGTAATGATCTCCTAGTGGGTAATTATGGTTTGAAAAGCACAGCTTGTGTTATAGGCAGAGCATTGTGGATGGAAGAAGACACAGGAAGTGTTTATAAGTTTTTTGTGCCACATCCACATGGCTTTTAAATCCCTCCAGGAATGGGGACTCCACCACTGTCCAGGGCAGCCTCTGCCAGGGCAGACAGACCTTTTGGTCAAGAAATTTCCTCTAATTTGCAATCTAAACCTCTGCAGTCACATCCAAGTATTGACATGGAGAACAGACCTGATTTCCCAGACCTGTGCATTTCTGTCCCTGCTGCTGCCTGTTCAAATCCTCTGCTATGAAGAACTATGTTTGGAACACTTGCAGACAGGTGGTGACGGGATGTTTTCTATTTTGCCCATACCAAGATAGGCCAAAGCCATTGAGAGGATGATGCTGAGGCCACCAGTGCTGGCACCCACCTCCTCCAGGCAGCACAAGATCTCGGGATCAGGCAGCTGCTTACTACAAGCTTGCAGAGTGGGGTTGTTCCATCCCAGAACTGGTCTTTGTCCCAGGCCCAACCAACAGTGTAGAGACACCTGATTTAATCACTGATTTGTCCTGACAGTCCTGATATGGCCATTCACTGTTATGGGAATGCTAAGAGACCTTTGACTCACATTGGATACTTACTTAATGACAGCAATGGAATATTTTAGGATCAAACCCAGTACTCTCAGAGCCATGTGACCTGACCAGCCACCGAGTGTCCTCTCCTACCCTGGTCACTCTGTCATCCAAATGAGCCCTGAAGGTCTGGTCTGGTCTGTGTGTGATGCTGGGATTAGCCTGAACAAGAAGGTGAGCCAGCTGGCAAGACACAGGCACTAAACATCCTTTTAGACTAATTCAAATGACGTGTCTGATTAAAGGCACTTGAAATGCCACCAGAAAAGAAGACCCTGCCTATCCTTCTTAGTAAAAGGGAGCCCATGGAGATTTATGTGCTCTGTCTTTCCCTGCTGAATGGGCACAGATGGTGATTTAAGAGTTTTATGCTCCTCTGGCTGTAGATTTCATAGCCCTTCTCTGGGATGAAAACTGCACCCTTGGGAAGGAGTGTGGGCTGGTTCTATCCATCAGGCCACATGATATCTGAAGCACATCCTGAACTTTTCCTTGGCAGAACACTCTTGGCCAGTGAAGGCGTGGGACTGGTGCACGGGCTGAGCTCTGGTCACCACCTCTATGCTGTCTCACAGACTCCAAATAGATTCAAAAGCACTTAGACTGAGACCTGTGGTGATGAAGGTGGCAACTCTCTAGGACATGCCTCTGGACAATAACTCTCCACCTCTTGTTTTCACTCTCTTCCTGCCTTGCCTGAGATCCTGTACCCAATCTCTTTAGAGTGATGTTTATTGTGGCATCTTCTCTGAGAAATGTACTGTTCTGTTGTCCTTTATCCTCCCTATTGTCTGATAGCCTATGTTTCACTGATTCAAATGCAAAATATAACCAGAATGCTGTTGTTATTGTCTTTTTTTTTCTTTTTTTTTTTTTTTTTTCCTTTTT